CGTGGGGCCCCGGGGATATGCCGGGGGTGGATCCCAAGGTCATATGTCACCGCTTGGCAGTCAATCCAGAGGCTAGGCCGGTGAAGCAGAAGAAGCGGTTCCTCTCGTCCGAGCGGAGGGAGTTTGTCTCCAAGGAAGTGGCCACCCTCCAGAGCATTGGGCATATCAGAGAGGTCAGGTACCCGGAGTGGATGGCCAACGTGGTGTTGGCTCCAAAGGGAAACACGTGGAGGATGTGTGTGGACTACACCGATCTAAACAAGGCGTGCCCCATGAATCCGTTCCCACTCCCGAACATCGACCAGCTGGTGGACGAGACGGCGGGCTGCGAGCTCATGAGTTTCATGGATGCTTTCAGCGGGTACCATCAATCCGAATGCACCCTGAGGACGAAGAGAAGACGTCTTTCACTACCCCCGGCGGAGTATATTGTTACAAGGTGATGCCTTTTGGACTCAAGAACGCCGGGGCAACCTACGCTAGGATGGTGAGCAAGCTCTTCGCGCCCGTCCTCGGGAAGAGCATGGAAGCGTACGTCGACAACATGATTGTGAAGAGCAAGCAGGCGACCACCCATGCGGAAGACTTAAAAGATGTTTTCAAGATTATGGAGAAGTACAACCTTCGGCTGAAGCCGAAGAAGTGCACGTTCGGAGTTCAAGGCGGCAAATTCTTGGGACACATGGTGAGCAGGCGCGGTATTGAGCCCAACCCCGAGAAGGTGCGCGCCATCCTTGACATGGAGGCTCCACGAAATGTCAAGGAGGTGCAGCGCTTAACCGGAAAGTTGGCTGCGCTCAGCCGATTCCTTTCTAAGGTAGCGGATCGGGCCGCTCCGTTCTTCCAAACTGTGAAGAAGTCCCGAGGGTTCATGTGGACGGAAGAATGCCAGCACTCCTTTGAATCTCTCAAGTCCTACCTCCTCTCCCCTCCAGTTCTCGCGAAGCCCGAAGCGTGGGAGACGTTGTACTTATACTTGGGAGTTTCACCCAAGGCTTTGAGCTCGGTCCTAGTCCGAGACGGAGGTGGAGCTCAGCACCCGATATATTACACGGCGAAGACGCTGAGAGGTGCCGAGCTCAGGTACTCAGTAGCCAAAAAGACGGTCCTGGCCGTGGTTTCAACTGTGCAGCGGCTAACACCCTACTTCCAAGCTCACCCGGTTCAGGTGCTCTCCCAACAACCCATAGGAGCGCTGCTCAGAAGCCCGAACGCGCCCTCGCGCATGTCCAAATGGGCGGTGTTCCTTGGAGCTTTCCAGATCGAATTCAAGCCAAGGCCAGCGATCAAGGGCCAAGCGCTAGCTGACTTCGTGGTGGAGTGCACCGCTCGGGAGGAGCCGAGCCTCGAAGAGCCGGAAGCTGACGAATTGTGGATAGTTTTTACCGACGGCTCCTTCGCCGCCAAAAACTCGGGGGGTGGAGTGGTAGTCATCGCGCCCGAAGGCTTCAGAGCGTATTACTCAATTCGATTCAGTTTCAAGGCATCAAATAATGAAGCGGAATATGAAGCGCTCTTGTGCGAGCTACGCCTAGCAGCCGGGATGAACGCAACAAAGCTAAGGGTAAAGTGTGATTCAAAGCTGGTGGTTGGCCATGTCTCGGGAGAGTTCGAGGCGAAGGACGAAAGAATGAAGAAGTACAGAGATACCGCTCTAGAGTTACTTAAGAGTTTCACCGCGTATAGTGTGGAGCAGATCCCTCGGGCGGAGAATGCCGAGGCGGATATCTTGTCGAAGCTGAGCTCGGACACGCCCGAGCACATCAAGCGGATGGCGAACGTGGAAGAGTTGTCCGAGCCGAGCATCCATGCCTTCCCCGTGGCGATGATCTGTGCTCGGCCAAGAGATTGGATGGACGACATAGTTGCTTTCTTGAAGGATGGCGCCCTCCCGAACGATGCAATAAAGGCCTAGTTGGTCCGGACAAGGGCACCTGGGTACACTTTGGAGGGCGAAAAGCTATACAAGCGAGCATACAACGGTACGCTGCTCAGGTGCCTCTGACCAGCTGAAGCGGAGCAGGTCATGGAGGAGGTGCACGCGGGGATCTGCTCCGCCCACCAAGGAGCCTACGCGGTGTCAAGGAAGATAACCCTCCAAGGATATTTTTGGCCAACAATTGTTAAGAATTGCGCGGAGTTTGTGAGAAAGTGCAAGGTGTGCCAAGAGTTCCAGAAGGTACCAGGGAAGCCTTCAACAAACTATACCCCAATCAGCACAGCTATCCCGTTCGCGCGGTGGGGGGTGGACCTCGTGGGTGCGCTTCCTAGAGGTACCGGGAACGTGCGCTACGTCATTGTAGCCATTGACTACTTCACCAAGTGGGTGGAGGCGGCCCCATTGGCAAGCATCACTGGAGCTCAATGCCAGAAGTTTCTCGCAAAGCAAGTCATTTGCCGCTTCGGCGTTCCCAAGCACGTAATCACAGACAATGGAACACAATTCGAGTCCAAGCCCTTTAATGACTTTCTCGAGAGTTGGGGGATCAAGCACAGTTATGCGTCGGTTGGGTACCCGCAGACAAACGGGCAGGTCGAGAACGCCAACCGAACGATAGTCGATGGGCTGAAGCGAAAGTTGGAAGCTTGTGGAGGGGAGTGGGCAGAGGAGTTGCCCTATATCTTATGGACCTACCGGACCACGCCCCGAAGGGCAACTAGGGAAACTCCTTTCGCTCTATGCTACGGATTCGAGGCAAGGGCACCCACAAAGATCTCCATCTCAACCCACCGGGAAGAGGTCTTTGACCCCGAGCGCAATGAGGAAGCCCTGGCAGCCGAGCTCCACCTCGTACATGAAAAACGAGAAGCGGCCTTCATACGGGCGGAGAATTACCGAAGGAAGGTGAAGAGCTACAATGATGGGCGCGTGCGCGCGCGGGGGTTCGTTGAAGGAGATTGGGTGCTGCGCAAGAGGGCAGTGAGTCGCCCCCTAGAAGGAGGAAAGTTCGCCAAAAGTTACGAAGGCCCATACATCATCAAAGAAGTGGTGGGACCTTCGACATTCCGCCTGCAGACGCCGAGCGGAGGGGACGTACCCAGAACGTGGAATGCCGAGAACTTAGTTAAGTTTTATCAGTAGACTTTTGATGTACACGGACCCCAAAATGGGAACCCGCAGATCTTTTCGGTTGAGCTCAATGGAAGTTTTTTTTTGCGAAAAGAGCTTGCTTGAACACGCGTGCTCGGCGCTCCTCCTCAGGAGGAAGGCCGAGCGCAGACCATACCCGGATGTTCTTCCCGGATGAGGGTCAAACACTCGTGCTCGGCGCTCCCCCTCAGGAGGAAGGCCGAGCGCAGACCATACCCGGATGTTCTTCCCGGATGAAGGTCAAACACTCGTGCTCGGCCCTCCTCCTCAGGAGGATGACCGAGCGCAGACCATACCCGGATGTTCTTCCCGGATGGAGGTCAAACACTCGTGCTCGGCGCTCCTCCTCAGGAGGAAGACCGAGCGCAGACCATACCCGGATGTTCTTCCCGGATGAAGGTCAAACACTCGTGCTTGGTCCTCCTCCTCAGGAGGAAGGCCGAGCGCAGGCCATACCCGGATGGAGGTCAAACGTTCACGCTCAAAATAATAACTAAAAAACAAGACATAAAATCAGAGTCATATCTTATTCATCCCGGAAAAAGGGGCTAGTACACGGCGCGAATGCCTTAGAATGAACCAGTGGGCAAAGGCACCAAGACCAAGGTGTTTGGGCAGAGCACTACGCGGATAAGGCGAACCTGCGCTCATCCTCGGTTAGGCGACGAGGCGAGGCTAGCACGTCTATGATTGGGCGAGCGCAAGCGTGAGCACGACTCCGCATTAGCGAGCCCAAACATTCCACCAAACGGCCGTTCCGATTCCAAAACTTATTCAAGAAAATGCGACTCAGAATCAAAGAAAGGCGATAAAGGCATCGCAAACCACGAAGAGTCAAGGGTAATAGTTACGCAGTGCAAAATACATTGTTCGAGCACAAAAAAACAGTACATCAAAAAAAAAACTAAGGGTGGAGTTTATCGGTGGACCCAGACGCGCTCAGTTACCAGCGGTGTCCTCACCCCCGCCAGTTGCGTCCTCGTCCTCGGAGTAGTAGATGGATGAGTCAAACTCCTCAGGGTTCTTGCATGGCTTCGGTAGCTCCTTCCCATCTCTGATCCGCTCTAGCAAGACTTCTTGAGCCCGTTGCAAACCCATGGAGTAATTGGCTTGCCCCTCTTTGAAGAGGAAACGTTGGCCGGCGGGAGTTCGAGCCCAGATCTTTAGGAGATCGTCCATGCGGGCGAGAGCCGCCTCCTCGAACTCGGGGGAGGTCTGAAAGGCCTCGACCACGTGCTCGGCTTCCTCGTCCAGGCGGCGTACCTTCTCCTCAGCAGCAGTGCGAGCCCGCTCTGAAGCCCGAGCCCGCTCCTCGGCATCAGCAAGCTCCCCCTCGAGGCCAGCCACGTGCTCCTGCAACCTCCGAAGCTCCTCTTCGCCTTTTGCCTTCTCCGCCACATACCACTCGAAGCGCTCCACCAGNAAAATTTGTTAGAATCCATCTAAGTGTCGGGCAGAAACGCACGTCATACCCTAGCAAAGAACGCTTACTGAGCCCAACTCGAGCAAGAGAGTGGAGGCGAGGTCTTCCGAGGCGGCCGAACTTATCTCCATTCGGTCTGGCGGAGGGATGAAGCTCTGCAGAAAACGGCGAGGCTCATAGTCCCCATGCAAGAATGAAGGCTTGAGGGGGAACGCCACCTTCACGAAGGCCGGGTTTCCGCAGTCCACCGAGCGCGAGGGTGGAGACCTCGCCCCGCTCAGCGAAGCCCCTTCCATCGAGGAGCTCACATCCTTGCGCTTCTTACTCGCCTGGGCATGCTCGGCGGACGGTGTGGGAGTTGGAAGCGGAGGTCGTTCTTTGCCGGACTCCGATCGCGGCTTGGACTTGAACAGCTTCTTCCTATCGGCCGCGGAGATCATGATTTCACCTGCAAGGAAGATAAGATATTAGTTCGAATCCCTACAAGGAGCCCCTACCCGCTAAGGAAGTGAACGAGGGAAACCTGAGGGTCCTTCTTCAAGCTGACTCTGGACAACCCGGCGCTTGGGCTCGTCCTCATCATGGAAGACGAACCCAAACTTGGACAGAGCCTCGTCATTCACTAAGACCCCGGGCTCGTAGGGGCCACCCGAACACAACTTGTCCGTATCAGCGATAGCCTTGGAAGAGGCAAAGGGTTTGGATCGTCTACGAAAAGAACTGAGGGGGGACTCTCGGAAGGGGGAGGTTGACCCCACGGAGATGAAGACAAACTTGGACTTCCAAGTCTTGTTGGATTCCTTCTTGGTTTTAAAAAGTCTCTCTTGCTCTCTTATATTAGATTCGCAACACTATTGTCGCATATATCAACAGCCGTCGCGCGAGAAGCTCGCCGTCGTTGCCAAGCAGCCGGTGTTGAGGAAGAACGTTTGCTGGCGAGAGTAGCCTATTCGCTGATGCCCTAGTTCACAGCCCCCTCTCCCTGCCACCATAATGTCACATTAATTATCCATACAGTGTCAAACAAAATAGTATAATGTCAAACATGACAATACATAATGTCAAACATGACAATGTATAATGTCGCACATGGCAATGCATAATAATAAACATGACAATGTATAATGTGAAAATTTAGATTTAAACAATAAAAAAAACCAGAGCCCAAAATAACTTAAAACAATCGAGAGCACAACCACAACCCCAAATATCTACCAAAATAATTCTTGACAAAGCAACTTAAAAAACTTGCAAAGAGCATATAAAGTTCATTTACCAATACCTTACATATAGAAACTCAATAAATTGCTCATTAGAATGTCCATACAGTGTCAAAAAGGACCACATGTAACACCATGTGTAATCGCATAATGGCAATCATGCTAGTGTATAAAGTCATACATGTGAATGTATAATATTAAACAAATAATGCCAACTATGACAATGTATAATGCCATATCTAGCAGTGTGTTATTACAAATATGTCAATCTATAATGTTACATATCACATATGTTAATACATAATGTTAAAAAGAGTTAGATGTCAAGAAATTCTAGATTTTCCAACACCATAATCGTTCAGTTTCAATACCAATTTTACAAAATAATTCCTTAAGAAGTAAATTAAGATTTAAAATTGAATGTCACCCCTTATGTCAAATTGAATATATAATTGAACTCAACCTTAATTACGAAAGGCGCAAAGAATTAGTAAAAATTTTAAAAAATAATTCCCGAAGAAGTAAATTTTCAGATTTAAAATTGAATGTACCACTTATGTAAAATTGAATATAAAATTGAATTCAAACTTACTCCAACGGGCAGAAGCATCGTCACTCGGAGGCTAGGCGACGAAAATGGTGGAGGGGTGGAAGGAGTTCGCTTGTATAAGAAAAAGGAAGATGTGACGGAGTGGGGTGGAATCATTGTCGCGGGGAGGCGAAGGTGGGGGTGGAGAGGGGCTTGAGATTGGGGTGACGGCATGGTGCAGATTAAGAACGAGATCAGGACCAAAGAGGGGGCAATAGATTCAATCCTAAAGGGGAATATGTGGTTTGTGCGGCCAGGAGTAAATGAAAACATAATTTAATTAATTACTTCTATTTTGAGGAGTTTAAGTTTGAGCTCCTATTTTGAGGATATGACATATGTTTTACTCCTATTTAGGGGGTTTTCTTTACATACTTATTTTTGTTGCCCGCATTTCAAAATGTTGGCAATTTTAGTTTCGTCTGTTATTTTGATTAATTGGAAATACTTAAGACTAGACGAAAAAATTTACTAATCGTTGATACGAGCTCCGACGTTTAAAATATATGCTTGTTCAATGATATTACAAATTCTTCGGTACGTGTAAAAATAAGTTTGATGTTTTGGACCTCCATAGAGTGGCGAATCTTGACTAGATCGCTTAAAAACTCTCGCATCAAACCAAGTTATGTATCCTTGATGAGGTTTGCCTTGGGATGCCTTTTCATTGCTAACCTTCACCATGGTGGCCATGTCTGAATCGTAAACCACCACCTCTGTAAACCTAAACAGCAATTGAACTAATACAAGCAATATTGAGATTATATTATAAGAATTATCTACTTTATACTCCCTCTGTCCCCGAAAGAGTTTCCCTTATTGATTTTTTGGGAAATTAAGGAAAGAATATTTTAGTGTTGACTTTCCAAAAATACTCTTGATGTGATGTATAAACCTAAGATGTGATGGATAGATTATTAGCAAAAAGGTATGATGTGATAGGTAGGGTATGAAAAAATAAGGGATAAAAGTGGTTTTTTAATAGATAAGGGAAGGAGTTAGTGGGACAAGAAATAAAGAAAAGGGAAGGAGTTTAAGGAACGGAGGAAGTATTTTCTATTATTATTCTTCGTGCATCCATCATTGGTGGGGTAAAATCCACCATCGTGTAAGCATAAAAGGATCACGGACATAATATAATAATAGAAGAGTAATATGAAAAATATCATACTATAAAAGACCCATTATAGAATTTATCGTATGATAAACTTGGATCCGCCCGTTGTGCAATCACGTTCTTCTTGGTAGTGAATACTGATAGAATTTAAGATGAGTATGGACAATTGGATTGGGTAATAAGACACTTGGGCTGAACCACATTAAAAGATTGAATCTAATTGATCAATTGGTTCAACTTAAGAGCTTATATACTGACTATTTTACTCTTGAACTTCCGATGTGGGAAGCACTTTAAAACTCACTCTCAAGTGGACAATCGGGTCATTTTGAATCTAACCGGTTGACCACTTGCAAATAAACTCTCATTCCCTTGATTTTTTTAGTGCTAACACCTAAAGGACCACGAACCGCTGGGTACGGAATTCCAGACGATTAGTCGTGTTAAACGGGCCAGAAGTTGTTGGGTACATACTCCATACGGACAACTGGGCTTAAGACTAACGAACCGCTAGGAATGAACGTCTAGACGGACACTTTGACAAACGAGGTGGGCTAAAACCTGCTCTGATACCATGATAGAATTTAGGATGGGTATGGACAATTGAATTGGGTAATAAGACACTTGGGTTGAACCACATTTAAAGATTGAATCCAATCGATTAGTTAGTTCAACTTAAGAACTTATATACCGACTATTTTACTCTTGAACTTCCGATATGGAATGCACTTTAACAAATACGTAAATGGTTTAACGCTAGCCTCTCGATTTTGTTACATAAATAAAATTGT